CCCCCCCCCCCACACACACACACTAAAAATTAATTTCAGATGAAATCAACGAAAACTAAAAACGTTTTCATTTGTTTCATCAAACAAAACAAAGTTTTATGCTATTTTGGTTTCAGCCATTGGAGGCAGGGCGCATGACGTCATATAACATTGCACGTGTTGGGCGCCACCATCTCGGTGTATAACTAGGTATACACCAAGATGGTGGCGCACATATCGGCGTGTGACGTCACCTGACGTCACGCATGCAAGGCGGCATGTAACGTCATGCTCCCCGTCTCCAAGATGGTGGCACGCATTCGCAGAACGTGCCGGTGGCCAACATGGCCACCGTACATTCTCAAACACATTATTATGTGCCTGAATACATTTTTCGTATATTCGGGCATATAGTAATTCATTAATTTAACATGTAGTCTAGGTTTTATGTTCTGCTTTTTATTTTTACTTTTCTAGATACAATTACTTGAAAAAAGGGTCTGCATGACACCTGACACTTTATTTTTATAGACTATTTTAGTTTGACATTTATTGTTTACCGCTTGTTTGGCTTCTGTTGTTTTATTTAAAAAGGAAAACTTATATTGTGCCTACAAGTTTAATACCTTTGAATAAACGTTTTATTTTTATCATACTTTTTAATATGTTTCTTTGGGGCTTAACAAAATGGGAGGCTTTATTGGAAAAAATGGGTGTGGTTACTGAGGGGTATGGTCACTGAGGGACGCTGTAAAGCTTTCTTGCACAGGGCGCCTAAAGGCCTAAGGCCGACCCTGCCAGGATTCACCCGGAAAGTCCGGATTTTGAATGCTGTGTCCAGGTTTCATGGCATCAGAAACCCGGACACAAGATGTCATGCAGACAGGGGCAACTAAAATTAAGATATGGGCTACTGGCCCCCTACTAAAAATAGTATCAACTGTGATGTTTACATATGAATGGGTGGCACTATTTACATATGAATAAGCCAGGACTCATTCTCCCAAAAAATTGTCTGTGTGTCACTAGAGTGTTCGGGTTTCGCTTGAAGAAAAGGTGGCAACCCTAGTCAAAGCACCCTTTAAAAGTATACAAAATATTGAGGCACTGTAGTCTAAAATGTTATAGATTTTAAGGGTGACTACATACAAAAATCTAAACATCAGAGTCACCCTTTCACATCTGAAGCCCCTCTTTCACATCAGAGTTTACATTTTACATCAGGAGCCCCCTTCACATCAGTCTTCATTCCCCCCTTCACATCACAATCCCACTACAACAAAATGTTGAGGCACCCCGGAGGAGACCAGGAGGCACACCAATGTGCCACGGCACCCTGGTTGAGAAAGGCTGGCCCAGAGACACATTACTTGTGACTTCTAGAGATCACTGCTATTTCATCCTCTTTAACAACCAATGCTTCCACATTTGTGCTCTCTACAGTCTCCTTAAAGTTTCGTTTGATATCCCTGTCTCCCAGCAAACTCAATCAGTGATCAGAGACAAAAATGAAAGAGACAAAGGATACAGAGTGCAGAAAAAGAAAGATTGTCAAAGAAATAAACTATACAAATGTAACTACTAGAAGCCAGTCTAAAGAATATTTTTCTTCATGGACCCTGAGGGAGCAAAAAGTGCTGTATGTGACCCTGTAGGTTGGGCACCAGGAACTTACGATCTTATTGGATCACAAGCTGAAGGGAGTGCAGCTCACGTAAAGATTAAGCAATAAAATCCTGGCAGAGGTCCTAACCCCTCCCTACTCTGTTCAGAACTTTAATAAAATTGTGGCTTTAGATAAACCTTCAATTTCAGGTTTTTATAAAGAAGTCTGTGGAGGCAAACAATGATCAGACAATTGTAAACAGTGAATGTGTTTGTGTGAAAACATGTATTTGTATACTGATATTTTGTCTTTATCCGCTGTTCTGCACACATGAATACTTGAATTAAAGTACATTGTAGATTTAAAGTCATTATGAATGCACCGATAATAAATGCAATATGCTATGTAACTGTGCTAAGTACTCAAACATTAAACATTCATAGGCTGTACTTTACAACAGTAAGTATATAGAGACTGATAACAGGAATGCCGCACCGTCCACCGACACAAATGCACCAAATAAAAACCTGCAGCCTTATTTTTTTTAGCTGTAAGCCAACCATCAACAACTTAAAATCAGCCTAATTATTGGTAAACTGAGTGTAAAATGCCTGATTATTAACGTCTTGCTGTCTGCCCAACGTAAATATCGTTAACGTAAATATCACATCGTGACCAGTGAGCATGGAGCCGGCTTTCCAGGCCAATCAGGAAGCCGGGCGCCGCGTCATCAACGGCACTCGGCTTCCTAATTGGCCAGAAAGCCGGCTCCATATGCTTTCTCGTCTCCTAGTGACGAGAAGCATGGAGATAGCGTCTTTACATGCCACCCGGCTTCCCGGCTAATCAGGAAGCCAGGTGGCGAGTCATTGGTATTCGGTATGTGGTATCGGTACCGGAAAAAAAATATTGGTACTTGTACTCGATACCGAAAACCCGGTATCAGTGCATCCCTACCTATTAATGTCAACAGATATTTGCTTGAATATTATATGGCCAGGTTGGTCCCTGGGGATAATCATCATATAATACCATGACAAATGTATATAGTTTTTGTGTGACTGGTTTAGCTTTGATTGTAGCTTGAAGCTCAAAGTTTTAAACCAACAACAACCAAAATCCAATGCTTTTAAATTGTGCCTGTTCACATATGAACAGTCAAGCACCTATAGCTTTACACCTAACGCTCAGCAAGGCACATGAGCTACTTAGAAACAGAATGTGGCGTTTTTGGCCCCCATGAGTATGCCTGAATACACCTGAAAATTAGCATTTTTCATAGCTTAACAACCAACTTCTTCTCCTAGTACATAGCTTTCTATTGGCTAAAACAAAAACTCTCAAGCTTAATTATGCCTGATGTGAATCCAGTCTAGGGGGTTATTCACTAAGCTGCCGAATGCAATTAAGTGGATGATCGAGCCAAAGTGAAGGGAGCCAAGCGCCATTCGGCTATTCGCTTCATCAGAGTATGGCTGATTTCAGCTGTACATCGGCTGCCTTTGGCTCCCTTCGGTTCAGCCGAACATGCTCAGACTTGATGAACAAGTAACAATGTATTTTATAAACTGATCATGTTTTTTTATTCCAGATCTGTGACATTGTGGACCTGCTTGATAGTCATCTCACTCACATATGGCAGAGAAGGTGCCTTCGACAATTCAGGACACAAGTACAGTTGAGGATGGCCAGTGCCAAAATGTACAGGACTCATCTCTTCTTGCCACCCACCTGAAAAAAGTGGAAAACCACATCACTGATGCACGGCGCTTCTGCCATCTTCCAAAAAGGTCATCTGTGGACATTGAGTTTAAAGAGTTATCTTATTCCGTGAGAGAGGGACCATGCTGGAGAAGAAGAGGTAAGTGGCAGGACTGTTTATTACAATGGATGAGTTATTTTACCTCTATATTTCTTATGTGTTAAATCTTTTCAGCTCTGTAAAAAGACATCCCTTCACCGTATACCTGAAAACATCCTTGCACCTATTTAAAAAAATAAACATACCTTAAATCTAGTCTTTAGGCTGGCCTGGTGATGTCACGAGTCCTTCATCTGCTGCTCCTGTGATGGAAGGTCCTTACTGCATTTCAGAACATGGTTCACAGCTCATTGAAGACTTGTGATAGGCTCACATAATGATGTACCAAGAGGGGTGGGCCCATGACAGTGCGGGGTTCACAGGAAGTGGTTTGATTGAGGTTGAGTGTTGCTGCAAGAACCCTAAAGTCCAACTTTGTTCACAAGGCAAAATAAACCCTTGCAGTGGGGCCCCCCACAATGCAAGGGTTAACTGCTCATTAAGATTAGGGTTGCAGGGATAGGGAGTAACACTTACCCCTTTCCTTGCTCCAGCAGGCTCCCTCCATCTGCTCCCACAAAACCTCCTTTCTAAGTTGCTCTCAGCCACAGTCGCACACTGGGGTTGGGAGGGGGGAAAAGGGGATTAATATGTTCACTTCTTGAACCCCCTGAACCTATCTAGCATTTAACCCTTGCGGGGGGGGGGGGTGCATATCTTGGTCTCTTCAGACCACAGGACATGGTTCCAGTAACCCATGTCCTTAGTCTGCTTGTCTTCAGCAAACTGTTTGCGGGCTTTCTTGTACATCATCTTTAGAAGAGGCTTCCTTCTGGGACGACAGCCATGGAGACCAATTTGATGCAGTGTGCGACGTATGGTCGGAGCACTGACAGGCTGACCCCCCACCCCTTCAACCTCTGCAGCAGTGATGGCAGCACTCATATGTCTATTTCCCAAAGGCAACCTCTGGATATTACACTGAGCACGTGCACTCAACTTCTTTGGTCGACCATGGCGAGGCCTGTTCTGAGTGGAACCTGTCCTGTTAAACCGCTGTATGGTCTTGGCCACCGTGCTGCAGCTCAGTTTCAGGGCTTTGGCAATCTTCTAATAGCCTAGGCCATCTTTATGTAGAGCAACAATTCTTTTTTTCAGATCCTCAGAGAGTTATTTGCAATGAGGTGCCATGTTGAACTTCCAGTGACCAGTATGAGAGAGTGAGAGCGATAGCATCAAATTTAACTAATTCACCTGACTACTAATTTCTTTACTGATGTGTTCAACTATTGAAAGGATACAAGACACTTCTGAAGTGTTTGTCCGGCATGTTCTGCAACAGAGAGCTTATTGGAATTATGGGACCGTCTGGTGCAGGAAAATCCACATTAATGAATATTCTAGCAGGATACAGGTAAGGCATTAACTTGTTAAAGCGTCTTCTATAGACTTTTTGGGGTACTGGGGTTTTTCGCCGTTTTACGGATGCACGCAATTTGTAACCTGGGCATGTTGGGTATCGTTTTACTCGTTGTAACCTCATCATTTATATTTCATTTAAAAAATTGGTATTTTGATGTGTTTTGGGGCATTTAATTAAATTTTTCACTAAATATTGGGGTTTAAAAAGGAGTTGCGCTAATATTGCGCAACATAAAAATTTGCAAATACCACCATTTTATTCTATAGGGTCTTGGCATTCAGAAAATATATAATGTTGGGGGGTTTTAAGTAATTTTCAGGCCTAAAATTTGGAATATAACATGGGTACAAAAAATTAAAAAAAGGCCTCAGTCATGAAGGGGTTAAAGCCCAACTCTAGCCAAATGTGTGTTATATGTTTACTCTGCTCTCTTTTCCTGCACTGACTGTAGCACTTTAGGGTCCGATAATATTTCATTTTAGTTATTTTAATTAACTCAACTTTCAGTTCTGATTAAGTGCTGGTGTTATATTTATTTTGTCAAATGGCCTAAGCAATATAATATAGAGCTGTGATTTGTTTTTTTCTGAAGGGTCTAAAAATAATTATGTCCTGTCCTTCTTCTAGTGGCTCATCTTAATAGCAAAGAAAAAATATACATACATAATGATTCAAATACAGGTATTGATCTGCAGTGGGCTCTGACCAGATCCATATAGGGTTCCGGCTTCCGCTAAGTACCAAAATGTAATATATAGCAAGACTAAAAAAGGTCAGAAAACTAAATATCAAGTGCACTAATGCACACAATGCTGATGTGACCATGCACAAATAAATGGCATTATAATTCTGCCGGTAAAATAAATTGCTAAAATCATAAAAATTCCTGACACCTGAACACTTGTAGGCCTGTGAATGCCTGTAATCTTCATACAAAGTGTAAGTCAATTTATAGTAACAGGAAATAAAAAAAATTGTCATACATTAGGATTTTGTAGGTTTTTCATAACTAGGTAAGGATCTACCTGCCCACAAAATGTGCTGAATGTAGAGTTAACCTCTTTGTTTTTGTTCAGATTTTCATTCTTTAACAGGAAATCAGTCAGATTTTGTCTCAAATTGTAAATTATTCACTTATGTGTTTATATACAGTATAAAGCGTAGGATTATGGGTTATGGATCATAATATTAATCTGTGTGTATTATACAATAAAATTACTGGACAATATAAAGTACAAATATGTCTGGACTTTAATATAGTTTGCTAACAAGTACATAAATTATTTACAGAATAATAAAAAAGTCACAGTATGCTCTATTGATTTTTGTAGGAAGTAAATACAGAGGAGCTAGTGTAGTGGCAGAGGGTTGTGTGTGGACAGTTAGTGAAGCTTTATCTGAATCAATGGATAGCTACTCTATGATGACTTAGCTGAATAGTTCTATACTTAGTGGAACGTCAATGAGCTTCATAAAAACCCTTTGAGCTCTACTAGAATGACAGCAGATTGTCTCACTGGCGATACGTCATCTTAGAGCCAAGGTGAGGACCTGACTGTGGCATGGCGCAACTCACTGGGATTTGCTTTTTGAAAGAATTGAAATAAAAATAACGGGTGTGAAATTAGATATTATTATACTATATAAACTTGTTCATGCAATTTTAAACATAGAAATATGTCAATTTAAAATCGAGTAGTGCACAGGAGATACAAACTCATTTGCAACTAGCATCATTATAGTCCATGTTGACATTAAATAATTTCCTTAAATATAGTAGAGTTTATTTAATAAAAACGATCTCTATAGTGTCACAGCAACTGATTCAAAATCTGCCCCAGAAAATATCAAATATATAATAAGGTGCATGGGGCTCACTTTACTAAGAGTTAAATGCCGCATGAAGTTTTGAGGTAAAATAACCCATTTATTTAACTCTTAAAGCGGACCTTTACCCATATCTTTAAAATAACAAGAAAGACACCTTTAGAAATGTTTAGTAATGGCAATCTACAAACACATACTTCTAGATCATTGCCGATTTTTTATTCTTTGCACGTCTTATTTCTCTTTTTCTTCCCCAGTCTTCTAGCAGTGGCCATGTTTACTAAGATTTATCCATCTCCCTTTACTTCCTGGAACTCTGGCACATGTGACTAGCACATGTGACCATGCACATCATGTCAAAAGAAAAAATCTAATAAAATCAAGTTTACTTTGACCATAATTAGATTAATCAGCATGACAATCATTGCTATGACGTTTTCATATCTTTTGAAAAATAGATTAAAGCTTTTACAAAAAATGAACCCAAGAGCTTTTAGCCTTAATGTTCTAGTATGCACAGAATATTACCACATGATTTACCTGCCATAACGTTCCCCTCCAGCAATGTGCTTCTCCCTCACTGGCACTTCCATCTTAGCCCCAATCTTTTTTTGATTTTCCAGTGTTCAGCTGCTTGACCAGCTGGGCCCCAAATACCTAACTCCCATGCAAGTGCATGGGCATTACTTAATCTCAGCATGCCAGGTCTGTGTGCTGAGCTGCACATGCGCAGCTCCGTGTACAGAAGACAAAATGGTTGCAAGAAGCAAGAAGCTTTCATGGCAGAGGAGACTTAAGGTGCCCATGCACCTTACGAATATCGGACGATTTTCGTATGTGATTGCGTTTTCGTCCGATATTCGTACGGTTGATGGACAGTGTACAACCGTAAATACTGTACAATCGATCGACTTTTGACTAACCAGCAGGTTAGAAAACTTCGATCGATCGTACGATTTACGCAAGGCTGGTGGCGTTTCCGTACGTCAAAATTCGTAACATTGGCTATTTATTTAAAAAAAGTTCATCATTAACGAACCCTTCATGAGCATATTGAAAGGACAGGTAGAGGACATGTACGCTGTGAACAAAGTGATCTCTCTGTTGGGTGTTATTGCTATGGGCAGCCTTACACAGCCTCTTCTGTCATAGAAAGCCTAACAGTCAGCAGGTTCTTTTTTAACCCTTACTTCCACTTTAAGTGGATAATCTGTTTTTAAAAAAGAGACGGTTTTTCTGGGCAGAAAATTTAGCCAAATCATTTTTTATTTGTTGTGTCAAACTGTTTTTTCAAGTGAAAGATGGTCTAAAATGGTCAATTCCATTATTTATCAGTTATCATTAGATGTATGACCAGCATTAAAGTAGATGTTTGAAATACAAACACATCTTCTTGTGTGTTATCCCTTTAATGACCCTGAAGGTAGAGAAAAATAACTGTTGGTCCTGGCAAAAATACACTTGGTTCCTAACCTGTTGTGGGCTGACAGCACAGTGCTCTTGTTGGACTGAAATTGGAAGAATCGTGTCAGCCCTATCAAGCTGTCTTTTGCTGTACTACAAAATACCTCCCCACATCATTATCTCCACAACATGGGGAGTTATGGTCCTAGGGAAGAACTGGACAAGGCTGATTACAATCCTTGAGATAACAAAAGCATAGCACACAGGACAGCTATAAATGTTTTGCAGGAACAACACAGATTTTTAATAATTTATCAAGCAGATATAACAGAAAACATTCAACTAAAGACACTTGGACTAAAAGACAGCAAATAATAGAAGTTCATTGTTAGGGTTTGCATAGACTTTAATTGGATTCACAATGATGAGTTATTTCTACCCTTCATGTTATGTTTATGTTGCCTTTATTGTGTTTGGAGGGGATTTGGATTCTGTCCTCAATCTCTTGATAATGGGAATATCTGTGGTGTGCAACACAGGCACTTGGACAATTAAGGACCATAGTAACCCAAAGTCTGTGATAATATGTTTTCAAAACAGGGACAGTGGAATGACTGGTGAAATCCTGGTAAATGGAAAGCTGAGGGAGCTACGAACATTCAGGAAGATGTCCTGTTATATAATGCAAGATGACATGTTATTGCCACATTTAACAGTCAAGGAAGCCATGATGGTGAGTTAATTAGCATACATTGTGTTTCCTGGTCAATCAGGAATGGATGCCTCATTTAAGAGTAGGTTTTCTATTTCCTCCTTGAAAGCATATCTAACCCCAAACCCAAAATTTTAATATATTGCAGGCTACCAGTCCTTAGATGAGATGGCTGCATTAGTTTTCTTTTTAAAGATTTTTTCCTTTCTTCACCTGATGATTCTGCCAGTAATACACTTCTTGTCCTAGGATCAGTGGCGTAACAATCGCCATAGCGACCCAGGCGGCCACTATGGGGCCCGCGCACAGGGGGGCCCGGCCAGGTTGCAGAAATCTAGAAATCTAGATAATAATGTATGGGAATTTACCAGTGTGAACAGCACTTTAAGGACATAGTCCACCATCTGGAAATAAAACAATAAATCCAGACTTCTTTGTAAAAAAAAAAAATGCATTTAATTATTATTTTTTTGCATTGGAGCCAATAAAGCATTGCAACTGCAATCAGTGGATCACAGGTGCAATGCTCTGGCTCCTGCAGATTATTTCTCCCGCCCATGTCTGTACCGAGGTACAGACATTCAGTATTGTGGACAGGATGAAGAATGAATGGGCGCTAATAACCACAAATTGTATATATTACAGTACATCTTGCCGTCTTTTCCTATATAGGTCTCTGCCAACCTGAAACTCAACGAGAAGATGGATGTAAAAAGAAAGTTGGTGAGTGTAGGCTTGTTTGGTGTAATGGTTAAGGTATAGATATTGTATATTGAACTGGTTTCCCCCTTTGGTTGATGTGATATACAGTATATTGCGGCTCCATGCAACTGCTCCACATATAAATGCTCTTTTTTGGCAGGTAAATGAGATTTTGACAGCACTGGGTCTTCTTGAATGCTGTGGAACTCGTACATTAAACATCTCGGGGGGTCAGCGCAAGCGTTTGGCTATAGCCCTGGAACTGGTCAACAATCCTCCAGTCATGTTCTTTGATGAACCAACTAGGTAAATATGTTCCACTATACTTACCGCTCTACTGTATTAACATGAAGCTGTCTGTTGAGATCCAATGTAAGTGTTTTGCCAATTATAATAATATAAATGGTACCAGAAATCACCCAATGAAACAATTATAATAGAATTTAGAACTTCTAAACTTTGTACCCATTAAAGGACAAATATGGGATGAGTGAAATACACTCATCCCAATAGTTAGAGCTGACGTGTGACAATGCAGCTGTCACATGTCGACTATATAGTTCCATGAACTGATTACTCAGTTCACAGTCTTCTCCCTGCAGAGAGCTGTGATTTTCAGGCACCTCCCTGCAGGGATTCCCCCCCTCCCCTTTCTGATATTCCAGTGCTGACTGGAGGGACAGACAGGGGAAGGGGCGGGCACAGCTGGCTCTGCCTCTAGAGAGCCATCTGTCAATCAGGTAGTGGGATATTGTCGGGATCCTTCCCAGCTGCAGCGGGGCTCTGCACTGTCAGCATATGGCGGGCAATAGTCCGCTTTATGCTGAGTTTTGGGTTAAAGGAAGGCATTAGTCAATTTCCTCGTGTGACCCTAAAGAGAACTACAGCCAAAAAAGCTTTGGCCATAGTTCTCTTTTAACTTAACCATCCTAATGTTTGGTTTGATTTGAGATTTCATTTAGTATTTAGGTGTATGTATTGCCAGAACTTTTTATTTTGGTTTTGGATCGAGCAGGGAGGGGATAAAATTCCTGTCAGTTCACTTTTGCAGCCTGTGTGACCATAAGCAGGCCATATACTTTAGGAAACGAACTATACTAACTATACTAACTATACTAAACAAGAAAAATCACTCAACTAAAGAGCATGGATGGGGAATCAAGTGATTTTTCTCATTCAGCCCCATGAAAAATCTTCCCTGATGGCTGCTGTATACTGACAGTTGGTTCTTATGGTTGTAAATATTTCCAAACAGCGTCTTCTACTGATTGGCTGCACTCACTGTGCGGCCGACAATTGTTCACTAAAATTTTGAATTACCCATCACTATCTGTGTCAGTGACAATATTAAAAGCGTAAATATAGGGGGTACATTTTTTTAGTTGGGACACACATAGCAGGACAGGAGTTCTAATCCTTCCACATCCACCGAACACAAAAAAAAACACTTTAATGATTATTGAGATTGACTACCATGCACTGCAAAGAGCCTGCAGTTTGGATTTAATGTTAAAGAAGTTGTAAAGTCCCAGCATTTACTATTCTGTTATAACACCATCATTGTAATAGGAATTCCCTCTCTATAGTTGTTATTGATAATACAATCAAAGCTAATTTGAATAAATCCCTTTTATGTAATGAGTTCTGCCCTTCTTCTGCCCATCACTTTTAACAACTTCCTGGATTCCCAGAGTGCTTTGCATCTCTTTCCCTGCTCCTGGGGTGAGAGCAATATTTCTAGGGTCATCATTCATTGTTAACTTGAAATGAATGACCCGTAAAGGCTTTTAAATTGTTGCCTTAAGACAATTTTGGGTACTGTAGTTTGTTGCTGCTTCACGAGCAGTTTTGAGGCTTGCCATATTTGGTGTCTATTTACTCAACACATCTTCATTTTATATATTTTATTTTTAAATATTGGGTATTGTTTTTCATATACAGTACATTTGATAAACAGAAGCACAAAATATCATGTGAGACATGCAGAAGCTATTATGTGAGATATAAAAAAGTGCCAAAATTGCCTGGCACCTACTAGGTGTTTATATAAGGCTTTAGATCTGGGTAAAGGTGCCCATACACCTTACGACCATCGCAAGACTTTTGTCTTGCGATGGTCGTAAGCTTATTAAAAGCTTGTACGATCTGCCCATCTTGGACAGGCAGATCGTACTTGCGATCATCGAAAGCGGGGCGGGCTTCCGATGACTGCAATGAAGGGCGGGCTTCCGATCACTGCAAACGGGCAGTGTGTGCGTGCGCACACCGGCCCGTTCGGCAGTTGTCGAACAAGCAGGCCACTAACCCGCCGAGAATCGTATGATTCTCGGCGGGTTTTCAAGCCTGCTTGTTCGACGGAAGACGTGCGACCGTAACGTAGAAAAGGTCGCACACCTTCCATACACTGCACGATTATCGTACGATCGTGGGATTGCCCGCGATTCTCGTACGAGAATCGTGCAGTGTATGGGCACCTTTACAGTATAAAGTCACACTTCTCTGGCATTCTGCCATGCATTGTCTCAGTGGATCCTCTCACTGGAATACTTTCCTCAGTGGATCATACTGCTCAGGTAACACATTTTAATTATGTTTGTGCTGTGCTTGCTGCTAAATCACTTTTCTACCACAGCGGGTTTACCTGGGGTCATAAGGTCCCTTACGACTGCTATGACTTTTTTGGCATTTTGGGCTTCTGCTTTTACAGGTACAGTTTTGTTATTTATTCTCTTTGTATGTTGTAGTGGTGCAGAATACCACATTAAAAGAGAACCTGTCGCCAGATCAACGAAAATCTGTAATCCCTGTAGATATCCAAAAACCCTGCTGGGTGCCACCTTCATAGAGATGTTGGAAATCTCTGAGTAGACTAAGAGCTGGCACTCAGCTGACACTCTATAGAGTCTATATTATTCTCCTTTGCTCCTCCCCCAGCAGCTACATAATCATTTAGGGCCCATTCACACTAGCCTGTCTACCGAAACGCTGTGTTTTAGCGGATGGACTAGTTTTTTGTGTGTTTTGTATTAGCAGATGGGCTAGTGCGTTGTGACAGCTCCGGCAGTGTACATTGTATCGCACACTGCCATAACTGTCACTGTTTCTATTTTTTTTGTTTTTAACTTTATGTGAAGTGTTCAATGCGTACACTTCATTCAGGTCCACACACGATATACATAATACCTGGAGTTATTAAAAGAGAACTATGGGGTCAGTATTTTTCCCCATAGTTCTCCTTAGGGTAACGGGAGGACGCTAGTTAGCGTCCTCCCGTTACCCTAAGCTCAGTATACCGCGAGCTACAGCTTGCGGTATACTGAGACGCTGCACCTGGAGCGGATCCCAGCGTAGATGACGGGATCCGCCCCGCTGCGTGAGTGACAGCTGGCTCTGCCTATCTAGAGGCAGAGCCAGCTGTACCCGCCCCCTCCCGTTCCGCCAGTCAGCGCTAGCAGATCGGAGCGGGGAGAGGGGAATCCAGCCCCTCCCCCTGTCACGGCAGAGAGCCGTGACAGGATCGAGAGGTGAGGGAACCTGGTATGTGTTCGCTCACCTCCCGATCTACTGAGCCGACCTGTGACAGTCTCATTGTCACAGGTCGGCTTAGAACTATGAGGTGAGTGGAAATCACTCATCTCATAGTTCTCCTTTAAGGTAGTGACAGGGCCTTTTAAGCTATAGGATAACAGTATCATATGTACTGTAACTGCAAGGTCGTAGTGTATGGGCTCATTCACACAACTGTTCATGCCAGTACAGCACCCAGATCAGCATATTTCTTTGGCGGGTAGGGCCAGGTGTTTACAATTAGCTGGGGACAGGAAGTCAAAGGAGCGGTTCCATGAGTGGACCTGTCTGCAGACTGGTTGCGTTTAGGGCCACTCATCTGTCCCTAACCACAGGTATTCTCTTCATTTGTGAATACTTGCAGACAGGTGCGGAGGTGCTCAGCCAGTCACTGATTTGTACAGGCTGAGTGGCCACAGCCAATCGGAAACACCTGTCAGTACACCCCGCAGAAATAAACTGATCTGGTTGGTGTACACCCCTGGATGACCATGTTAAGGAGCCATTTGGTGTATAAGATATAGGTTGGACTCCTACAGTGTATTCAATGCTTTGGAGTTGCAGTATATTATATATTCATTCTACTGCAGTACAGTTTAAGTGTGTATGCTTTAAAGAGTTACACTATACAGTGTATTCATGCTGCAGGGATGTAGTATACAGTGTATTCATATTGGAGGAACATAGTATACAGTGTATTCATGTTGCAGGAACATAGTATACAGTGTATTCATATTGGAGGAACATAGTATACAGTGTATTCATATTGCAGGAACATAGTATACAGTGTATTCATGTTGCAGGAACATAGTATACAGTGTATTCATATTGCAGGAACATAGTATACAGTGTATTCATATTGCAGGAACATAGTATACTGTGTATTCATATTGCAGGAACATAGTATACAGTGTATTCATATTGCAGGAACATAGTATACAGTGTATTCATATTGCAGGAACATAGTATACTGTGTATTCATATTGCAGGAACATAGTATACAGTGTATTCATGTTGCAGGAACATAGTATACAGTGTATTCATGTTGCAGTAACATAGTATACATTGTATTCATGTTGCAGGAACATAGTATACAGTGTATTCATATTGCAGGAACATAGTATACAGTGTATTCATATTGCAGGAACATAGTATACTGTGTATTCATATTGCAGGAACATAGTATACAGTGTATTCATATTGTAGGAACATAGTATACAGTGTATTCATGTTGCAGGGACATAGTATACAGTGTATTCATATTGCAGGAACATAGTATACAGTGTATTCATATTGTAGGAACATAGTATACAGTGTATTCATGTTGCAGGGACATAGTATATAGTGTATTCATATTGTAGGAACATAGTATACAGTGTTTTCATGCTGCGGAATTGCAATACAATGTATGCAATTCTAAGTATTCATGCTGCAAGGTTATAGAGTATTGCTTATTATGAACTGCAGATTTGCAGTATTAGTTGTATTTTACAGACCTGCAAAACATGCATCATGTATAACATGCAGATTGTATATACAGTATACGTTTTTATTACCCTGATTTATAATTGCCTGAGTTCAAAAGTTTCTTTCATTCTATATTTGGTATAATGCATTTTTACATATATTGTATTTATTTATTTATTTATTGGAGGCCCACAATTTAAGCTGCCCATACACCTTACAATTATCTGCAGATTTTCTGTGGTCAGATGGAAAAGGTGCAACAGATTCATCCATCTACACTTAACTGTGTGGATGGAGTAATCTCCACCTGGGCCAATCTGTTGCAATTTTTCCATCTGACCACAGAAAATCTGCAGATAATTGTAAGGTGTATGGCCAGCTTTAAGGTGCCACAATGTTCCAAAGGACATTGTATATGACATATGGAGATAACAGTGTGCTTACATCATGTATTTGTTACAATCACATTGTTTTTATATTGTTTTATATATTACGGCTGAAATCAGCCGTACCAGCCTGAAGTGAATAGCCGAACAGTGTTCGGCTCACTTCACTTCTGATCGGTCATTCACTCGGCTGCCCTCGGCAGCTTCGTGAATAGACCCGATAGTGTATGTTAGTAGTGTTAATCTATTTTATCTGAGGACTGTGAACTTTGTTTTAGGTTTTACATTTGGACTCCAGGCAAACAGTTAAATACACAGGATTTGTATTTCTGTCAATTCATTTCTGAGATTATGCAGCTCTGCCATATAACACAACCCAGTCTGTTAGGGCGGAAGACTTAATTTTTCTCTGCTGCAGTTAAGTAACACTTACAAGTCTTGTCCCTCCCCCAGCCTCTGACTGCACAGTGAAAGAAGAAGTAGCAGACTGATGAGCTTATCTCTCTGTCACTCTGTTCTATCCTTCTATATGCATATTACTTGTTAGCACATGAGCACTGCAGTACAATTGATTGGCTCCTTGCCCTGCTTTTCCCTCTCTCAGTCTAAGTTTTGCTGTTGTATTGCTAGAGCTTGATACCAAGTTAAATTCAGGTATTTATTAGTGTATTTTTGAATACAGAGATGTATTATTTGTGTCTGTTATATTTGCCTGGATTTCATCTCTAAAGACCAGGTTACACTGTTGGTGTTTTGCCATTACCTCTTATCAGCCTCTAAATTCTTATCAGTCATGCTTTCTTTTTTATTGCATTCTTGCAGTGGTTTGGATAGTGCATCCTGTTTCCAGGTGGTGTCACTACTGAACTCTCTGGCACAAGGAGGTCGTACCATCATTTGCACCATACATCAACCAAGCGCCAAACTGTTTGAGTTGTTTAACAAGGTGTGTAACAGTTTGCTTGCATACCTGTTATGTTCAGTGCGTGGTTCTGTTAATTCCTGCCGCTGTTAGTGATTTTCACTTCCATCTGTAATCTTTGTTTTTTCAGTTGTATATTCTCAGTCAGGGTCAGTGCATATACCGAGGGTCTGTAACTCACCTTATTCCATATCTGAAGGGATTAGGATTACACTGCCCAACCTACCACAACCCTGCTGATTTCAGTAAGTTATACTTAGACTTTCATTTAATAGGACCAAGACCCACCAGTACATAAGCCCAGATGTTTTGCAGTGATGGATATAATTAATGTTGTGCTCTCTCAGTATTTGACTAAACCGGCTAATTTTTACCATCTAGTTATTGAAATAGCCTCAGGGGAATATGGAGACCTCAATCCGGTATTATTTCGAGCAGTAGAAGATGGACTGTGCCCTATCCACAGGGAAAAGAGTAAACCATCTATAATAGAACTTGACCTGTGTCCCACAGTAAGTATGAATGCTCACACACATGCACTGTTTAAAACATATTAACAATTCAATAACTTTTATTCTACACTTGACATGAGAAAGAAAAAAAAAATCATCCTAAAATATGCAATTGATCAAAGCAGAGAGCAAAATAGTCCCCTAATGAAAACAGTATCATGTCACTCTGATTGCCCCCCCAATGATACAAGTGCCCCTTGATGCTGTAAAAAGATAAAGCCTTATACGCTAGAAAGGATGAGGAGGATAGAACTCCCATCTTCTGTGCCTTCCTTCACAAAATGAACTAACTGCAGCTATTTAATGGGGTTGAGTTACTAAAGGCAATTAGGCTGTTTGCACTTAGCCTAGTGTATGTGGTGAAAATGTACTTTGCAAAGGATATCCAATCACATTCAAGGGGAAAAAGCAGTATTTTGCTTGCATGGGATTGGATGATGGAAGTCAGCAAAGCTTCATCACATTCACTAAGCTAAGGGAAAGTTCCCTTGCAAAGTGAACAGCCTTTTTGCCTTTAGTAAATCACTGACAGGGTTATTCACAAAAGGGTGAAGAGTTTGGAGAAGACAGGAGAAGTGAACAATCTACGACAACATAGTTGTTGTAGATTGTTCACTTCTCCTGCCTTCTCCAAACTCTTCACCCATTTGTGACTATCCCTGTTAGAAATAGAATAAGGTTGTATGTGTGATCATGCCACCATCAAATAATCAATTATGCAGGCAGTGGGACTTATACAATCAGTCCATCTTCAGCTATAACTGTCCTGCCAGGATGCAACCATGCACACGTATGCTATAAGTATTAAAAGCATATATTCTCCTAAGCGAGTCCAGTTCACAAATCAAATACAGCAATCCCGAAGCTCAAATCCACTTGAACTGCATAAGAGTAAGCAGATGTAGTTACAGATATGAACTTTGAATTGCAGACATGATGCTACATTGTAATTGTAATGTCTTCCTTATATTGTAAAGCGCTGCGCAAACTGTTGGCGCTATATAAATCCTGTATAATAATAATACATAATCAGTTGTATTAATCAATGTAACAATCTGTTTAGTTTTACTAAACCCTTAATTCAGAGGCGTAACTAGAACCTTCAGGGCCCGATGCAAGAAACCATGAAGGCGCCCCCCCAAGGCACCGCATGTTAACAGGAAGGCTGCCGAGGTCCCCAGAAAATGCGGGACCTCAGGCAGCCCCTTGTTTAAAATTTTAGTGCGGTGTTCAGAACGCTGACCCTGTATCTGCGCTTATGTAAAAGCGGGATTACCGAGTAAACCGGCATTTATTCACAAAGTATTCGTTTGTAATGGTTAATTGTGACCATTAATAATATGCCATGCATGCCAGTAAATGATGGATGGAATATTACTAACGGTCACAATGAACAATTTATACAAAATACTTTGTGAATAAATCCTGGTTTCCTCAATAACACTGGTCTGTGTGCAAGCGCAGATGCTGAGGTCGGCAAATTCAACTACGCCAGCGTTCTCGACAGATCACCGGTATCTGCGTTTATTTTTGGGGCATTTTCACGTGTGTGAGTACTCGTAAAAATTCCCAGTATTGGCAGTGGTGTATCCCTACTTAAAAATATAATGCATTGCTGGGACTTGTAGTCCTACATAGTTGGATCTATTCTGCATTGCTGTATAATCATCATACAGCAATGTAGAATACCACCAGCTATGTGGGACTACAAGTCCCAGCAATACATTATAATAAAAGTTAGCTATGCAGAATACCACCAGCATCCCCCCCACTATAATGCATTGCGGGGAATTTCGGGGCTAAGTGGAGAGGATCTTCACAGCAGAATGTGCTGCCAGGCGGTGCCTGCAGCACATTCTGCGAGACCAGTGACAGCCTCTCCATCCCTGCCGCACAGCCGCCCGTACATGCTGCAGGTGGCAGCGAGGCAGGGAAGGAGTGGCACGATCTGGGGGGGCTCTTCTTCCTCGCTGGGCCCCCCCAAGTGGCGGAACGCCAGGGCCCGGTCGACCGCTGCGACCCTGGTAGTCCCGCCAGTGCCTTTATTAATTATCATAGTAAACTGAGAAATTTAACTTTGCAAAACAGTGGATTTTGTTTACAATGGATTTTGATTTTTTCCCCCCACTTAATTGTATAGAAAGTACTATGGGCACAAAGCAGCCTTGACACCTTCAAGGGAATGGATAGGGTTTTTGTATATCTTTTCTTTATATGTTATGGTTAGATTTAAAAAGCTGACATTTCCATGAGAGTGACTCATCACGGCTTAATTCGAATTTTCAGAAAAATTGAACCTCAAAGTAGTGAGCGTCAGTGCTGTGCAGTCTCCTTAACTAACCCATAGTGCTCTGGGAATTCTTTTTTATGTTTTAAAAGTCTGTTTCTAAAACAGGCCAGCAGTCACTAAAGATGGCCATACACCAGTAGAATTTTGTTCAAACACATTTTTGGAAAGTTCGTTCAATTTGTTTTTATAGTTAATGGGGTCAAATCAACAATAGTTATTAACCGTAGTGACGAAGAAAATTGAAGGAGCAAAATTGAGTTTTTTTCTTGAATGAACAAAATTCCAACAGTGAATGTGTTTTTGTTCAGGAAATTCCATTCATTCCAAATTTGGCAAACAATGGCATTATCAAATGTTCTGACTATATTTTTCACATAGATGCTCGTAAAAAAATCAATCAGTGTATATCCAACTTTACTCTTGTTCTGCACACCTAAATTCTCTACCTGTAAACCAGGTCAATGTGATTCTGTCTCTGAAAACATTTTTCTGATTGTGTCAGGTTGTTTCCAATACTCTCTGTTCTGTAAATATGTTTCTCATACTGGATCTGAATATAGATCTGTTGATTTATTTTTTAATTGAACTCCTTATATTTAATCCTGATCTTGTTAGTGCCATAATATGGCTACCAATGGACAGACATAGCAGTCATATGACTTGACCACAATTAAAGGGACACTAAACTCAGGAGTTAAATCTTAATGCATTAAAGTACCTTAACTATTAACAAAAATGTATCTTATTTAAAGAAGAACTATGGGGTAAGTGTTTTTCCCCATAGTTCTCCTAAGGGTCACGGGAGGACACAAACTAGCATTCTCCCGTGACCCAAAGCTCAGCATATAGCGAGCTACAGCTAACGGTACACTGAGACCGCCACAGCCAGGACGGATCACGACATTACTGTCGAGATCCACCCAGCTGCGTGATTGACAGCTGGCTTTGCCTATCTAGAGGCAGAGCCAGCTGTGCCCGCCGCTCCCCTGTCCGTTCCGCCAGTCAGCGCTGGAGGATCGGAGCGGGAGGGGGGAATCCCTGCAGGGAGCCGTGAGTGACAGTCACGGCTCTCTGCAGGGACATGGTCGAGAAGTGAGCAAGTGACGCTATGTGTTTGCTCACTTCCCGATCTATTGAGCCGACGTGTAACAGTTTCATTGTCACACTTCGGCTCGAACTATGAGGATGAGTGATTTTCACTCACCTCATAGTTCTCCTTTAAGTATCACTCGGCTGTAGATCTTCAAATCATCTCTGAATTGGTGCTGACACTGTCCTTCCTTCTGGAAGGTGGGCTACTTTTGTTCCCCATGGTCCCCGTGCGTGTTGTAAAGTAGCCACCGCTCCAAGCTCACTCCCATGATGGATACAATCTCAATACAAATAAGTATACTACTTCACAAGTGATACTCAAATAAGCTACATTTTTGTTAATAGTTATTGTACTTAAATGCATTTTTTAAGATTTATCTCCCGAGTTTAGTGTCACTTTAACAATCATTCTACAGATTGACCACCACATAAACATACACAGTAAGTTCAGGCACACATGTGATGTTTATGTAAGAGCACATCCCTGCAATGGCCTTTAGAATTGGAAAAGACCATGGTGCTCTGGCCAGGGGGCAAAACTATAAATCAAGCCCTGCCGTTATACTGTCAATTATCAAGAAGCCTTACAACTGCATTAAGTACTGTGTGCAATGTAATATCACCTATTATTGTAAAACAAAAGGTCACACTATCATACGTACTGTATGGGTCAAATTCTCCATGCACTGTACAGAAATACCTTCTGCAATAGCAGATAACAACTTAATACCCATTACTGCATATCCCACACTCCAAAGACATGCTGGTAGGTTAATTGGCTCCTGTCTAAATTGACCCTTGTATGCATGCATGTGAGATAGAGACCTTAGATTGTATTCTCGTTAAATGCAGGGACTGATGTGAATGTGAGAGCTCTGCGTAAATTGTCGGTTTGTTTATTGTTGGTATATAAGTACCAACAATAAAAAAACCTGTTAAGTTGGTTGTACAGGTACTGAGCTCTCACAAAATGCCAATAATTTTAGTGGGATCATAAAGCAATTTTACCATGTTTGAGCTTTCATTCTGTCTTTTTATGCATTAGAGAGAGTAAATGTGCATGTCAAGTTAATAAGAGGTGATTCCGAAATTATACCTAACCCTGATTGACTGGTTTAGCAGACTGATGTCATCCAGTAGGTATCTCTGTATGTAAAAGTACAATACTCCAGTACTTGAAAGCAGTTCATCATGCAATGGAAGCATTAGGATGATCATGCAGTGGAAGCATTAGGTAGCCAGATATATTATTATACAGTGTTATAATTAATCATTATTTGTATTATATTTCTCTTACAGCAGGATACATCTGGCCACATTGAAAGTCGCACCTTCGCCACAAGTTCCATGAACCAGTTCTCCATCCTCTTTAGACGCACATTCGTTTCCATCCTGAGAGATACGGTATGTTAAAAGAGAGTGGGGGAATATCAAATACAATTTAAATGGGGATAGAAAGTGCTACAATTACTTGCATATTTTCTTAGGTAAAAGTATAACTGTCAACTCATATATAGTGTGATCAAAACCAGTGGTGGTTGGATAAATCACATCTCTAAAAGAAGATGATTAGAGATGATTGAACTTCTGGAAATGCACTAAGTTGGCAATTTCCTTCTGTGGTTCTGTTTCAGTGAACAAATGTGCTACATACTGGATTTTCCCATTATAGACTTTTGTCATTTTTTTCTTGTGGAAAAGCATTTTAAAATTCCACCTGGTCTCATACACTTCACCCCTCTCTCACATGAACACAACTAACATTTTATTCAATTATATAAAAGCTTCTGCGCTCGAATGTTCTTAATTACAGGGCGTTCTAACCACAGATGCTCACTTAAATTGGCTGCATGAGCCTCCACAGATATATTCTAAAAATGGAGCAGCGCTGTAACCCAAAACAAACTTCTATATACAAACTAATAGTGAAAAATGTATATCTGTGAATAAATGTCAATATTCAATCCTATAACAACCCCCTTTGCAAGTCAAAGCAATTGTAACAAAAATCCTATTAAAGCCTTCCAAAGTGTCCATTAAAGGAGAACTATGCGGTGAGTAATTTTCACTCAACCTCATAGATGGAGCCTACGTGCGACAATGAAACTGTCACACGTCGGCTCAATAGATCGGGTAGTGAGTGAACACATACCGTCGCTCGCTCACTTCGCCATCATGTTCTGACGTCTCTGGCGTTCTGACGTCACTAACTCCGCCCCTATGTGTTACATCTATTGACTTCGTCAGGGAGCTTGAGTCAGTCAATACGGGAAATTAGTTGACCTGGAACCACACAAAAGAGTAATTTGGAAGATTGTGTGTCTGGCTGACTGATCATTGCTGAAAGAAACATAACTGTCATTGCATCTGAAAGTTAAAAAGCATGTATGGAATGGACTTTTTTTGTTGAGGTCACTTTTTTATATAATATTTGAATGAAGGATTTTTAGGTGCTTAGTAGTGTTGCACTGGCATGGAAACTGGCCTGGAATTTCCTAATCATCTCTGTAACTTCCATTTTTGCTTCTTCCTAAAAGGAATTACTGAGAGTTTGTAATGTGCACTTAAAAGCAGTCGTTATATTTGTGGTTGTAATGAAGTGCATGACAGTGAGTGAGAAGTGATTATAAATGACGGCTAGTTGTAACGACCACTAGCACTTAGGAAATGCCCTGTCTATGATTGTAATATTGTACTGTATAAGAGCACAGCAGTGCCTAATACATTGTGACTGTGACGCATAACTCTGAACAGTTCTGAGACCAATTTACAAGCCCCATTGGAATCACTAAATAGTGAATGTTAAGTTCTGGCAATACTTTCATAAGGGGGTTGTGTCTGGTAACACAAACCCTCTCAAACAGAGTTGTGAACATGGACAGGCCCAAGGAAGGATGGAATAAACGATGTATCTTCCTGGGTAAAATCATAGGCAGAATAGACTGTGTTTCTTATATGGCATGCTTATCCCATACACCAGCTCACGTTTCGGCACACTGTAGACCCTAACCTTACTCAATAAATTCTCCTGGCAAGTAGCTTGTATTTCTTTTTATATCTGTGTAAAAAGCATGTACTAAAATGAAAAACAAATGTTGATTATATTAGTTTCCTCTTTTACTGGATTGTCTGTTTACTTGAAAATGATATGATTGTATGTATATGATTGTTTGTATATATATATAGATTGTATGTATGTATATATATATATATATATATATATGTATATATATATACATACACACACACATTAAATACCTTGTTTTTGTCTTCATTGTGATCTCCTTTTTTGTTTGATTCCAATTCCCTTAACATCCCCCCCCCTTCCCCAGTGGGTATATATGTATCAAATTATGCTTCTTGGTTTGTTCCCCCACTCCAGGTAGTTATTTCTCTTTGTATCAGAGCTTTACATGTAATGTTGTACTTTCCCACCCTCCCAGGTCCTGACTCACCTGCGTTTCATGTCTCACATATGTATCGGGGTTTTGATTGGGCTCCTGTACCTGCACATTGGAGATGATGCCAGCAAAGTGTTCAATAACACAGGCTTCCTGTTCTTCTCCATGCTCTTTCTTATGTTTGCAGCTCTCATGCCCACTGTACTTACCTGTAAGAGCAACTGGTATATTATGTTTAATTTTGTATTTCCTTTTACCCCCTCTTTTGTTACCATAGTTCACCTTTGATCTTTTCTGTTCTTTTATTATTCATTTTATGTATTTTACTTTCTGATTTCCAGCTGTTTTATTTCATACCCACTCATTTCTTCCATCCAATGTTTTCGGTAACTTCTTCCCTGTCCTTCTTCATCACAGTATTGATTATTTACCCACAGTTCCCCTGGAGATGTCTGTGTTTCTTAGAGAACACTTAAACTATTGGTACAGCCTGAAAGCGTATTATCTGGCCAAGACAATGGCAGATGTCCCCTTTCAGGTAATATGCTTTGTTCTTGGATTACATAGTTACTTTATCAGAGAAATATTAAAAGCCACAATTGATGCTTCTGTTCCCAAGAATTGAGTAAAGAGATTACATTTGCAATTGTCTTGTAAATTACCTTTGTCCTTACTTTGTGTAAGTCTATGAGACTCAAAATCATTACCTTGTAATTATGAATTTGAGTGTTCAAATATCATCAATTGCTTAAAAATCCAAAAATCAAGGAATAATAATACATAGTAATTATAGAGGATGGAAACAGGAAAAGGTTGTGGGCAGAGTCATGTGATTATTGCTTTTTTTCTCCTGCCTAATGAAGAAGTAGTGATTAAACATACCTTTCCACTAAAACGTTTTTTGTGGTCAAATAGCCCATCTGACCTTAATAGATATTGTATATCTATTTTTCTGTTGTAAACAAGTGCTGATTAAAATGATCTTTCCATTTAAGGGTTTTGTAATCAAATAAGCCCAACTGACCGTTCTATATTCTGTATCTAATTTTGTATTATAAATATACATAAAAACAAAGAGAGACTGTCACATTAGCATTCATGTTTTTGTATAGCCCAGTTGTCACAATTAAAGTATATCTGTCACAAATCAGGACAATACAAACTGAACACAAAATAAAAAAGTGCAAAGGCAGAGCTTATCTTCTCAAAAGAGCTCAGTGGATCGAAATATATCAAAGGCTAATTTTGGCATTACCTGGAAATGCTGAGTTTGTCTCCATTCCCCACTTCCCAAACCCTCGATCGGGTCCTTTAACATGGTGGAAAGCCTTAATGACTAATAGAAAGGCAGGGAAGTAGCAAACTTGACTAACAAAGGAAAAGCAATAATCTGTATATTTCCACTGCGTTTATATCCGGATCTTTTGCTTAATTTGACATGTTTTCATCTTATGCCTTGTTTGAATTGCCTTCATTTGTTATAGGTTTACTTTAACAAATCCTTAAATGTGAAAATTGTTAGGTAACCACAGATCCTGAAATCATTAGAAGAACTATAACTGTAGTTCCATCTGAACAATTCTATGAAACCCAAATCAGTACTGAAGGGGAACAAGTTGAAAGCATTGGTTTCAAAACTAAATACACATAGTGAATACAAGTAGCTTAGTTCATTACCTTATGTATCCTACCACACCCTGGACATACATAATATTATATAATCTTAGACTTTAACTACCTATAATTAGTGTGTGCATTTCCTAAGTTTCAAATGGCTTTTGTAGCCTGTCGTTCCCTGTCCCTATCAAAGCAGTGACATGTAATCTTTTTCCTAGTGAGCAGATTTATAGTTTAAAATCTTTTTGGATTAATATGTTTTATTCTAACTTTCAGATTGTGTGTCCTGTGGTATACTGCAGTATTGTATATTGGATGACTGGTCAGCCCATGGAGGCTACACGTTTTCTGCTTTTTACTGCTCTTGCAACATCTACTGCTCTTGTGGCCCAGTCTCTGGGGCTTCTCATTGGTGCAGCTTCCAACTCTTTACAGGTGAGCTCCAGTCTTTACAGACTTAATAGCCTTGAAATCTAGAGGTCAAGTTTATGTGTATAGTTCACTTTATAAATGTTTTAAAATCATGTTGCTCACGACTTCTGATGATTTTTTGTAATTGTCTTTTAACACTAGTTTTACCTATTTTTATTTCTAGGTTGCAACCTTTGTTGGTCCAGTAACTGCAATACCTGTCCTATTATTCTCAGGCTTCTTTGTCAGCTTTAAAACTATCCCGACTTATCTGCAGTGGAGCTCCTACATCTCATATGTCAGGTCAGAAGAGGTCACTGAAACAGAATTCCAGTATCTTAACATGCTTAAAGAGGCTCGGTCATAGGCTTTTGCATGTATTCCCACTTTTTTAGCTTTGTTTCCTGTGTAAGTTTAGTAGGAATCTGACTATTTCCCTGAAGTGTCAATTCCTGTCTTTGCTCCTGCCCCCTTTACCGAATGCTATGTGGGCAGACAGCATGAGCCTGCACTTAAAGCAAAAAAAAAATTTTCCGGCAAGAGCATTTATTATCTGTACACCCATAAAGTAATTAAACAGAAGTTCCAGTTGGAACAGAGTCATTAGTGCACAAAAATGTAAAGAAGGAGCTGATTATAATATGTGCAGAGTGGAGGATGTATCGCTGGTGGCATTATTCAGTGCCCTGCTGTGTGCAAACTCCTACTATTAGCCTCTGTGCCCTATCATAAGATACAAGACTAGTCACCCTGCAAAAGAAGAGAAAGCGTCAGTGACTGGTCTTTATTTACAGGAACACAGTAAAAATACACACATCTCTTTTACCAGACATCGGACATTATTTGCCTATTCTAGAGTTCATCTTTAAGACTGTAATAATATAGCAATTAATGTTTATGATTACTATAGATGCCTGTTTGTGGACATCTAATTAATCCTTAAAGGGTAATTCCACTTTGTCACAAAATGCGAAAAAATGTAATTACCCACACAAATCTGCCCCCTCTCTCCACCCCCGCTGGTCATACCTTTTCCTGGAACTGCCATTCTTTCCCCAGGCAGCCAGTGTACAGTCCGTACACCGTGCAGCACATTGCTGCCCTGCACTAAGCATCTAAAATAACGCTCGCAGATGGTGAGCACTTATTGGTCAGCACAGTAACCTGACAACGCTGACCAGTGAGAAAAGCTTCTTGCTAAAACAAGCAACACTACAGTAACAAACTAAATTTAATCTAACGCTTAACGCCATGAATCCTAACCTTATCCTAAACCTCTGCTAATCTGTATTTATCTAGTTGTCGGCCAAAAGTATCAGACCACCCTGTAAAATAGAATATCTGACTCAGAAACACAAAATGCATAAGGGCTAGTTCACACCACAAACAGTGTGTTACGGCATAATTTGGTGCTAGAACGCACTGGATTGCATCCCGGCTGGCTCCCTGCGTTCAGGGGCGGGAGGGGGCATGGCGGTGTATTGAACACGTGGCACATCAATAGCTGCGTTCCAGTACGGTGCAGTCAGAAAAAAGGCTGCATGCACTATTTTTGCTGACTGCACCGGGCCGGAAAGCAGGTATTGATGTTCAAAATACAGTGCCATCTGAAAAAACACACATTACATCTAGGGATAGAAAACACAACAACTACATATAATGTGAAAATAGGTATTATTTTATTAAAAATAAATATATCCAGAATAGAAAGCATTTTTAAAACATTAAGCAAAAAAGAAAACAGACCCCGATACAATACATTGAATGATGTAATAAAAACAGTTGTTGCAGCAAGAGAACTTACTATACCTGGGAGAGATATTCCACTCTCAGGGTGACATCCAGATCTCAATATATGTGTAGAGCCTCTACTCTGTAAAAGACAAAGTGCTAACAAATAAATATAGTTACTAATGTTCAAAATATACGCTCATATATTTCAGAAGTGCAATCAATATTTTAAAAGTGCAATAAATCATAAACAATGAAATAGGTCAATATGACCCAGTTCATTGTAAAGTGCAATAACGTTAATAAGATGTGAACATAAAAAGATGTGCCAGAAGGAAATTACCACCAACAGGCAAGAATAGATGGAAACCAGGAGAAAATGTAAAATATAGAAGAATCAAACAAGGCTGCTGATTGTAAAGTGGATGGAGGGGAGAGCTCTGTGATCCTAGAAAAGACTCTACATATGTCAGGGGGCCACTACGCATGTCACGACCAAGG